GGGGGCAAGTAGAGAGCACTGATAATTGATAACTCACCCTCTCAAAGAGTAAAGGTGAGCAGACAGTTTCAGCCTTGCTTACTTGTCTCTTTTCCTTTTGGTTCTAGGGTCTGTTGGGATGGTATATGGTGAAGAGCGGGTTGGAAGAGAAGCCCGATTCCCATGACATCCCTCGGGTCAGTCAGTACCGCCTCGCTGCCCACCTGGGATCAGCCCTTGTCCTGTACTGCGCCAGCCTGTGGACCTCGCTCTCACTGCTGCTTCCCCCGCACAAGGTAAGTCATTCTGTATTGTCACCACGTCCGCACAGATGCTGACAGGGTCAGAGAGATTCTGGCTCTAATGGGAGGTTATGCTTCAAAATGCACACATTCCCTTAGTAACATCTACCAGCTTACCAGAAACAAGAGATAACCAAAGTTTAGAGGAACCTTGAACTTTGCGACTGCAGAGTAAAACGTGCAGTGATTCTTTTGAGCTGGAGCAACTCACTCAAAGGAGAATTAGCATAGAAGCCAAATACCTTGCAGCATTGCCTGTTGGGAATTGTGAAAACACGAATGTAGGGAAAGTGGGAAGGAGTACCCACAGGAAGAGCTATCCCACCCCCGCTGCTTCTGACTCCGGAGCGGGGGCGGATGGCATGGTGAGCAGGGCCGGACGAGAGCGGTTGTGGCCGTGTGGTGGTGTCCAGGGGCCTGGCTGGCTGGCTGTTCTTCAGATGGGGAACCTACCATCTGTCAAGCCGAACAATACAGTAAGCCTTAGTGATCACGCCTGGAAGTATTTTCTCTATGCCGACTAAGAGTGTTTCTTGTTTTAAAAATTAGTATTATGTTAGGTATTGAAGTCATGATTGACCTGGAGAACCTATTCATGGAGTAAAGTTTGAGATGATAACAGGACTTTTTAGTAGAATCATCCAATAAGTACTCGGAGCCAGTGGCTGGATCCCAGGAAGAACAGGAGATGTTGACGGCAGGCATCCCCACGGGGAAGTCAGATGGAGTTGAAACATTGGTATATAGCAGACAGGGTACATCTGAATACTTCCTGTTCTCCTGACTTTCTAAGCTGAACTTCTAAAATGACTTGCCTATGTCTGTCTATAGCTGTACAACCTGACAACCCATTCTTTTTTACAATTCTTGCATCTGGCTTCCCCACCCAACCATCTTACATACATACCCACACATTCACCTACATACTTACACTTATACCCACATACCCCATAATGCTCTGTAATGAACTGTACTCTTAGAGGTTACTAATGACTTATTAATTATCAATTAACTGTATTTCCCTTTTAAAATCTTACTTAGGAATGCCTTTCTAGCTGTAGGGTGGGGATCTGTCTGGTTCATGAATCTCTTAATAAAGCCAACTAGACCTCCAAAAAAAAAAAGTATTTATATTCCACTAATTACAGAAAGCATTTGAGATGATAGTCAAACATATAGCTGGATTGTGCTGTCCAACATGGTAGCTGAGTAGCTCCATGTGGCTATTTAAATTTTAATTAATTAAAATTAAATAAAATTAACTTTATTTAAATAACCTTGCTATTAAACTTTAAATAAAATAAACTTTTTGTTCAATTTTCAGTTGCTCTAGCCTTGTTTCACACCCTCATTAGCCACATATTGGGCAGCACAGCCAATAGAACATTCTGTCATCACAGAAGTTCTGTTTGACAGCACTGATGTATTGTCCTACGAAATCTTAGTAATGATACCTAACTCTTCATGTACTAGATTGTAAACCATATGAGGGCAGAATTCTGACTTAATTCGTTTGTATCTTTATGGTTACCGGTTTATAAAGTTGTTAATAAATATTTATTGATTCACTGATTCATATCAGAAGTTGGCTATAGTAAAAACAAAAACAAATTTTGACTTTACCAAAAACACTAAATGCAAGACTCTTCTCCACTATAGGCATTTTCTGTGATTTTGATTCTGCTATATTTGCTAAGCATGAAATATCACACACAAGATGAGAATCCAGTCCTGTATCTTAAGCCTCATCATGTTAGCCATGGTGAAGAATTTTCTCCCTGAAAATCATTCAGTTATTAAAGAGATACGTATTGAGTACCTACATGCCAAGCCCTGGGCTAGGAATACTATAAGCAAGATAGATAGCAGTTCCTACCTTTACAAAACGTACAAGATAGCAGAGAAAACAGACAGTGAATGTATAAATTTAAAATATGATGCATGTCACAACAGAGTATCTGCTGGGCGTACCTAGCCTAGTCTAAAAGTCAGAATGGTCTGACCTCATTGTCACTTGGGTTTGGCCTTGGAGATCTTTGCTGCCTCTTGTAGTTCCTGCAGTAGAGTTAATCTGAGTTATTTTCTTTTCTATTTAGTTGCCTGAAACCCGTCAACTCCTACGGTTGAGACGATTTGCTCATGGGACAGCAGGCTTGGTGTTCCTTACAGCTCTCTCAGGTAGGACTGGTCTCATCAAAGATGGCCTGTTTTCATTCCACTCTCAGGTGGGGTCGCTTTCTCCCTAGATCTTCACATTTCCCTTTCACATCTTCACCCTGTTTTCTGTTCCTTCCTCCCTCCTAAAAATCCTGCTTTCCAGACAGTTGAA